GGCGTCGTCCCCGGCCAGTTCGGCGACGACGTCCTCTTCTACCCCATCGAGCCCGAGCTGGCCCAGTATCCCAAGGAGCGCTGGGAGCTCGTCCTCGGCAAGGCCGAGACCCTCAACGACGACAAGAACAACGTCGTCATCGCCCTCAACGACGGCTCCAGCCGCACCATTCCCTACGACGCCATCGTCATCGCCACCGGCACCCGCGCCAAGGAGGGCATGCCGTGGAAGGAGGTCGGCACCACCGAGGAGACGAAGGAGTCCCTGCACGGCGTGCGAAAGCTGCTCGCGGACGCCAAGAGCATCGTCGTCGCTGGCGGCGGCGTCACGGGCGCGGAGACGGCCGGCGAGATCGGCTTCGAGTACGCCCAAAAGGGCGGCAAGGACGTCTACTTCATCTACAACGACACGCTGCCGCTCAGCCCGCCGTTCGTCGACAACGTCCGCAGGGCGGCACTCAACGAGCTCACCAAGCTCAAGGTGAAGCCGATCCCCGAGACTAAGGTCACCGCGGTCAAGACCGAGGCCAATGGGCAAAAGACGCTCGAGCTCACGACCAAGGACGGCAAGAAGACGACCATGACGACTGACGCGTACGTGCCTACCGTCGGCTCGATCCCCAACAGCTCCTTCCTGCCGTCCAACATGCTGGATGCGACGGGCCACGTCAACCAGGACGCCAGCCTGCGCGCGCCTGGACACGACAACATCTTTGTCGTCGGCGACGTCGGCAACCTGGAAGGGGAGTACGGCCGCATCGCAGACTTGCAGACGCAGCACGTCGTCAAGAGCATCCAGGCGCACTTCACCGGCGCGCCGAGGCCGGCGGACTACGTCGCGGACCCCAAGGTCCTCGCGGGCATCACCATCGGCCGCAGCAGGGCGACGGGACAGATGGGCACGTGGAAGCTGCCCAGCATCGCCATCTGGCTGTTCAAGGGGCGGTACATTGGCACCGACTACGCCAAGCAGCTTGTCGAGGGAAAGCGGACGCTGCAGGCCAAGAACTGGTGAGCGGCTTTAGAACATGTTGATAGAACGTGTTGGAGAGAAAAGGGGCCCGGATTGATGGATAGACGAAGACGACGCATGTATGGAGTTCCGGCGCTAGTTGGTTGTCCTGGCAGTAGGGCTGGCTGTCCCGTCCCACTGTTGCTTTTCTCCTGGGACCTGGGTTCTTTTGCGTGGCGATTTGGGGACTGAAGGAGGCGAATTCGGTTGGAACGGTCCTAATTACCACATGTTCTCAACTGGATCGCGCTGAATATTATTAATTTTATGACGAGCATTCTGGTTCCAAACGTGGTGTTGGCGTGGTGAGCTGTAAACGGTCCAAAGCAGGTGGAGAGGAATGGGCGCTAGGATCATGCAGACGGTAAGGCACGTACCTCCAGCAGCGGCAGGGTGCGTTCAGTCACGTGCGACGACCTAGGCACCTCAAGCCGTCTGCCCGGTGGGTCCGTCTCAAGGCGGACTAGCGCCAAATTCCTCGAGCTTCAAAATGGCGGCGCGCTGCGAAAATTCTTTCGACCTTTCTTCTTCTTTTTCTCCCTTAGATCAAAAAGTAACCCAGAGCTGCCACGACCAGCACCAAGTAGCTCCACGGTGTCGAGTTGCCTTTCCCTCTCCGGAGGGAATGCTCTGCAGATTGAAACCCTTGATTATAGGAAGTTTTTCCCCTGGCTCTTTCGGGCGATGGGTGAGAAATGCTGTTGATGGGGGACATGCTTTCGAGCATGCTGAAGTTTTTTCGAGTGCCATTTAAAACCCGACGGTTGTGTGCACATGAAATGACGGACTGAACGGAACCTGATCCATGCGGATTGAGCTCTCTCGGCTTAGCTGAACCTGAGCTATGGACGGGTGATGAGGAGGCGCTCTCGCGTTGTGAACATCGTTTGTGACACCTTCCCGGTGAATGGGTGACGAGAGTGGAAATGTCTCGATCCTGACCATGCCTGTCCAGGACTGATGCCATTTTACGCAAGAAGCCTGGCTGGATCTACGGGCTTGTCTCCTTTCGTGCTCACGCTGTTCATTCAGCCTGTGGACACGCTGCATATTTTCCACCACGGGAAGCTCTCGCCTTGTGGAGATGCGATCGTCGCTGAGGTCAGCTAAGGGAAGGGAGCAAGTGACCCGACCCGCCCTCTCCTCTGGATCCATTCGTTGCCTGTCTACGGCAGTTGCCCAGCTAAGCTCTCAATCACTGCGAATGGGTAAGCTTGGGGTTGACTGATGAGCCAGAGACCGGTTGGGTTCTAGACTGTTATTCCCGAATTTGCACGTGTCTCGAGTTGCTTGTCGTTTCTGGGAGCGGACGGCCCTGTCGTTGAGAGTGCAACGATGCCACATGTCTTGGCCCCTGAGAACATTCTTGCGCCGTTGCTCCAAGCACGCAGTTCCGCGTCAGGTCCAAGGCACCGCACCGTCCAGTCTCACCTGGCACCCGCCTCCCCGTTTCCCTGTTGGACCTGCCGCCGCCATGGTGGTGATGTGTGTTGAACCTTCTTCAACTCGCTCGAGATGGAGTATCTGAAGATGGGATCTTGTTGCCGTCGTTGACTGACCTGCCTCCTCTCCAACGTCCATATTCGAATGTGAAAACATATCACTCACATCTCTCGAGCACCGTTCGTCCAGTATCCCAACGTCGCTCCTCTGGACCCATCATCTCCCATTGTCCCGTCCGGCCCCGGACTGAGGAATGCATCGCAATGTCCCCCCATTCCCTCCCTCTGCTTGCTTTCGTGCGATGAGGACAGTCACCCAGGGGCCCAGGCTCCCGTGTGTTGGGCGCCTCGCCCAAGCCCGGCAACATTGCCCTTCGCTGTCTGTCTTCTCTATAAGACGAGGCAAGCCGTGCTTCATCCTGCCCATCTCTCAGATTAGTTCTCTCCTCCCCAGTTCTCTCAACCCCCCCAGGTCTTCCGCCCGCCGAAGAACTCTCTCTCGCCCACCCAGTACACTCGTTGGACTCTGTCCCCTCACATTCGTTCCCCTTGCAGGATATCCTGTCTGTCGCTCGTTTCGTACAGCTCAATCCCGCTCTCCTCTCGCTCATCAACCTAATCCGCCCGCCTCAAACACCCCTGCCAATCCAACAGACAACTTCCCAGAGCTCGTACAGGAACAACCGCAAAAATGAGGTTTGTCATCACTCTTCTTCACACGAGCTCCCACCACTTATACTAATCTCTATTCCAAAGTGTCGGCCAACTCACCAGCTCCGCCTTCGTCACCTGTGACCCCATCCCGGCCACGGTGACGGTGACCAGCAACGTCTACACCACCGTGTACACCACCACCGCCCTCGCCGCCAACCCGACCACCTCATGGACGGCCACTTACACCATCACCGAGGTGTGCTCCGGCTACCCATGGGAGTACAAGACCCACGACATTCCCCCGTGCTTCGTCCCCACCACCGTCTACTGCGAGCCTTGCGCCCAGAAGACCATTCCCATCATCTGCCCGGCCCCGTCCATGACCGGCGGAGTCGTCATCAACGGTAACGGTGTCACCGCCAACAACATGCCCGTCATCACCGCCGCTCCCTACGGCGTGTACGGAGGCTACGGCTCCTACGGCACTGGCAACCAGCAGCAGGGCGGCCCCGGCGGTCCTGGTGCTCCTGGCGGCGGCCCCGCTGGCCCCGGCGCTTCTGGTGCTCCCGGAGGTGGCCCCGCTGGCCCTGGTGCTTCCGGCGCCCCTGGAGCTCCTGGAGCTCCTGGTGCTCCCGGCGCCCCTGGCGCTCCCGGCGGTGCTCCTGGCCAGACTGGCACTGGTGGCTCCGCCCCCGGCTACGGTGTCTATGGCAGCTACGGCGACTACAGCGTTCTCCCCGCCGCCCCCGGTGCCTCTGGTGCCCCTGGTACTCCTGGCACTCCCGGCACCCCCGGCACGCCTGGCACTCCCGGACAGCCTGGTACCCCTGGCTCTCCTGGATCCCCTGGTACCCCTGGCGGCGCTCCTGGCTCTCCCGGCTCGCCTGGCACCCCCGGCGGCGCTCCTGGCACTCCTGGCACTCCTGGCGGTGGCCCTGGTACCCCCGGTGGCGCTCCTGGTACTCCCGGAGGTGCTCCTGGTACTGGCGCTGGCCAATCCGGTGCCGGCCAACAGCCCGGTGCTTCCGTCCCCGCCGGCGGTGCTCCCGGCGCCAACCCCACCGCTCCCGGCACCGGCAAGCCCTCAACCGTCGTCGTTGCCTCGGCACCGTCCCTCAAGCAGAGCCTCGGCCTCCTTTGCGGTATCGCAATGGCCGCCGGCTTCACCGTTTTTGCTTAAGTTTCGCCGCCACCTCTCTCTCACACACACACATTTCCACGACTAATCTAATTCCTTCACGACCAAAGACAAGATCATAAAAGGGGGAGGGAATGAAGCATGTACCTGGGCATACGATTAGGGGATGTTGCTTGCTCTTCCTTTGTTCTTCAACTTTTTCTCGCTCGCATGGAGAAAAATAGAAAGACCTCATTTTATCCTTCCTGAACGTTTTCGCATAAGTTGTTTTTCTGTTACTAATTGGCGGCATTTGGTGGCAGTACTACAGATTCTGCCCCAACCAAGCGGAGTTGGACATAGGCGGGACAATGGGACCCTCGGGTGTCGCGTTTTCATCAATTGAACGATTTTAGATTGAGTACGAATACAGGTTTCCTAGGGTGTTTTGTTCGTGAGCCCCTCCTGCTGTGTGCTATCGACCTTCCCCGTGATCCAATTTGGGTGAATACGGGTTGATGTTTGTGTCATTTCTCATGAAAGTTGCGAGTGTAGAAGGGGTGTTCGTCCGCGCTTTGATCCTCACCTGTCGCCAAGAGCTTTTGACATGACGGATGGGATGACGTTAGGGAGGGCGAGGGCTTTTCCCCCTTCCGGTTTGGTCAAAGTGTCCTCCTTGCGAGTGTGAGGGCGGAGAAATTCCCCAAAAAAGAAAACGAAAACGCCAAACGAGTTTCCCCTGATTCATTCAGCCTGCTCTGCAAAGTTCGCTCTCTTCATTCCAGCATGCCGTCCTCTCCCTTGCTGCGGTGCTGCTGCCGGATAAACTCCTCCACCTGCGCGTCGTTGTACGGTCGTTCCGGGGGGCCAGGGATGCCCGGGCGCGAGATCTTTTCCTCCTTCTCCTCTGGCGGGTTGCCGAGGATCTTGGCGGCGGCTGGAATGTACTGTGTCACTTTTGTGGAATGTCTGCATGAGCTATACCGCACCGGACAAAAGAAAACAGGTGGTGCTGTTGGTGTTCGTGGCTGTAGTGGATGCTGTATGAGGATTGGGCAGGGACAGAGACAGAGGAGAGGGTGTCGTGACGATGCTGGCAATTGGGCACCCACCTTTCTCGATGATCGGGTTCTGCTTCGGCGGCTCGTCGGGTTCTCGCGCGTCGTGCGCCGCTTGGTCCAGCTGCTCCTTGAAGCTCATCTCGCGGCCGTTGACCGTCGTTTTGGGAGCGGGAGCGAACTTGGTATTTGGCTGGGCGGACATGGTGACAATGTGGACAGACGGAAAGTGTCAAAAGCGGGTGAGGGAGGAGAATACGCTCACGTGCCAGCTGTCGTCGTCGGTAAGGCTGAGCGAGGGAGGTATGGAGCTTTGGGATACGGATGGGAAGGATTTCGCGAGAGGTGGGAGGGACGGTAGGGACAGTTTTCGGACCAGGTATACAGAAGTAGCAGGCGTCGCAATTGAGTTTTCGTCAATGTGGCGGAGCAACAAGCATCAAAGAGGCTAAGAGCGAAGAATTGGGTCGACGGGCAAGTAATAAGGAGGAAAGAATACGCCTGGCAGGGCTGGGGACTGGGAGGTGCGCGGGGTGGGAAGGGCTGCTTCTACTAAATAGGTAAGCCTGATAGGGTGACGGACGGTGATGCAACAACGTGGGTGACGGGGGATAGACAGAGAGCCTGACCAGATGCAGGTTCAGCTACCAAAACGCGCGTCCCGGTGCCGAGCTATGTGATCATAAGTCTGGGCGGCCGGGTGGGCTTGCAGCTTGGCCTGTCGTGCTTGATTGATGGGGACCGATGCCTTCGATCCTGGGGCTGGACTGGGCCTTTACTTAGCACTCGGAGCTTTGTTGCCGTCCGTCTATGCTAGCACTGCTAGGTATCCGTTAGGGAGCCCGGTTTGCTTGGTTCTGCGTTGTGCAAGCCAGCAAAACAGGTGCGGCGCATGGTGTGAGGTAAGAAGGGCGCCTCCGCAATCTGGGGCCAATGACGTCAAACCGCCTAGCTCGGCACTGCAGTCCCCTTGGCTGTCCCGCTAAGATAACCTTATTACGTCGCTGGAAGCTTCCTTATCGGCTCTTATCGGCTTCTTATCGCTCTTCTGCCCCTCCATTCCGCTCGAGTGGCCCGGTCCCTTTCGCGGCGGCATTTTCTTCAATGGTGATCTGACCGTTCATCCCAACCTACCCACTGGACTTTTTTCTTTTTCTTTTGACTTTTGCGACGGCGCAACCACGCTCCCTAAAGATGGCTCCCATCCCAATCACAATCATCACCGGCTTCCTCGGCTCCGGCAAGACGACGCTGATCCTCAACCTCCTCCCGCAGCTCAAGGCCCAGAACCCGGACTACAAGCTCGCCCTGCTCAAGAACGAGTTCGGCGACCTGGCCGTCGACTCCCAGCTCGCGTCCTCCAACGCCATCTCGGGCGTGCAGGAGCTTCTCAACGGCTGCATCTGCTGCAACCTCGTCGGCCAGCTCAGCACCGCCCTCGAGGAGCTGCACGCCATCGTCCGCCCCGACCGCATCGTCGTCGAGACCTCGGGCTCCGCCTTCCCCGCCACCCTCGCCCTCGAGGTCAACCGCCTCGCCCACGAGACCGGCAACTACGTCCTTGACGGCGTCATCAGCGTCATCGACACCGAGAACTGGAAGGGCTACGAGGACACGAGCTACACCGCGCGCATCCAGGCAAAGTACACCGACCTCATCGTCTTCAACAAGTGGGAGCTCTGCTCCGAGGACCGCTTCGACGAGGTCCTCGACCGCGTCGGCGACCTCGAGATCGAGATACCGTGGGTCAAGAGCCGCAAGGGCTGGGTCGGAGCCGACCTCGTCTTCGGCGTCGACGGCGGGCTGGCGCAGGGGCTGACGGAGGACGGCGCGGCGGCCAAGGACCACGACCACGAGCACAACGGGGAGAAGCACGCACACGACCACCAGACGGAGGTCGAGGTGCTGTCGGTGGAGCTGAAGGGCCCCAAGAGCGCGGCGGTCAACTCCGAGAAGCTGCAGGACCTGCTGCGCGCGGCGCCCAAGGAGGAGGTGTACCGCATCAAGGCGGTGCTGACGGCGTCGTCCACCGTGAGGGGCTCCGACGAGGACGATGCCGCTCCCACGCCGCCGCACCCGCAGGGGCGGTACATCCTAAACTGGGCGTTTGGGAGGTGGACGTTTACGCCCATTTCCGAGGGCGGGGCCGAGCACGCTTCGAGCGAGGGCGCATTGCTGCGCATGACGATGATCCTAGGACGCTACGAGAGCGCAAAGTGGAAGAAGAAGCTGGAGACGGGGTCTTTCTTGGAGGTTGAGGGAGGGGAGGGTGAGCTGGCTGTTACAAAGATCTTATGAGGAATGACGTAGATGATAGACGATTACGAGACATGGCGCACAGAGGAGTATAGACATGAACATGGGAAGGGAGAGCAGAGATAGAGTCTCGAATGTAGACATTTGGGCGACAGGATCTGTGGTTAAATAGTAAAGACCGAAGACAGGGAATTTTCTTACCTCAAGTTTTTGTTCCCAAATAAAACGGGTTCTTGTTCTGGGGGTATGTATAGTAATGCTGGGGAGGTTGATTCCTCAAACTGCAATGCGGGATGCGTACATGGGGCAAGGCACCAACCGAGCGCGAGTCGGCTTAACGCATCAAGTCACCATTCCACACTGACGAGATCTGGGAGTGATGTTTTACTGTATTTCTACGTTTTACAAGCGCCGGGTATCATGTCTTTACACCTCTAGACTACAAAGTTCATCGTCTTGCCACCCCTAGCGACAATGACCCTCTTTGGAGACCTGATGTCAAGCGGGCCGCTCGAGAACTTGGCCTTGCCCTCATCAGACTTCAAAACCTCCGCCAACATCCAGTCCTTCAATGCATCACCCTCCAGATCAGACGGAGGGGAGGGAATCTCCGCGACACCACGCAGCTTGCCGTTAATCTGGATAGCTACGGGCTGCTTACGGGGTGTCAGCAGCGACTCGGTGTCGTCCTTCACGGGGAAAGACGACCGGAAGATAGAGCCAGCATCAGGGTAAAGAATGCTCCAGCATTCTTCCGCAAATGCGGGTGTGACAGGGGCTGTCAACCGCAGGAGTGTGGACAGTGCCTCTCTCTGGATCAGTGGGCTTGCAACCGTGTTGTCGAGCAGAGTCTTGGTCAGGCCCATAAGGTCCGAAATGACCGTATTCAAGGAGAATACCGTCTCGTAAGATTGTGTGACAGAGTCAATGGTCCCTTGGACAGCTCTCCAGGTTTGAATGTCCGCATCCCAGGTGACCAGTTCACTAGCACTCAAAGATCCCAAGTTCTTTGAGCGCTCCTCGAGATACACCTTGACAGAGGTTCCTTCGACCTCAGTAATTGACTTTTGAATTTTCTCAGCATGGTCATGCAGCCTCTGGAGCCATCGTGTGACACCGCTGATCTTGCTCTCGTCCCAGTTCAGGACTTCGTCAACAGGCGCCTGGAAGAGCATGTGGGCTCGCGTGGAATCCGCGCCGTGCTTGGCGACAAACTGCGTCGGGTCAACTCCGTTGTACTTGGACTTGGACATCTTCTCATAGGACACATTCGCCGTCTCGCCTGTGGCGATCACCTTCGGGGTGGAGCGGTCCTTCAAGTCAACCTCGTCCGGCTTCAGGATCTTTCCAGTCTTCGGATCGGTGAAGGTCTCGCCGTGTACCATGCCCTGGGTGATCAGTCGGGAAAAAGGCTCGTGAACTGCGCCCTCCTCCGAAGCTGGGAAGAGAGGAGTTGTAGCCAGAAATTTGTAGAAGAATCTGGCATAGAGCAGATGCAAGATGGCGTGTTCAACGCCGCCAAGGTACAAGTCGACAGGCATCTGCTTTGCGGCCTCAACCGAGAAAGGCTCCTTGTCATTGTGAGGGTCCGTAAAGCGAGCATAGTACCAACTTGAGTCGACGAAAGTGTCCATGGTGTCAGTATCTCGCTTGGCCTCACCGCCACACTTGGGACAGCTGGTGTTAACCCAGTCATCGGCTCTTTCCAATGGGTTTCCGGGCTTTCCGTTCGCCCAGTGTTCATCAACTTGGGGCAGTTTGACCGGAAGCTGGTCGTCAGGAACAGGGACCGGGCCACAGGAGCCACAGTGAATAACCGGAATGGGGGTTCCCCAGTATCGCTGACGGCTGATGAGCCAATCTCTCAACCTCCATTTCTCAACGGGCTTCGCCAGTTCTGATGCCTCGAGGATGCCGACCAACATACGACCAGCCTCCTCGGATGACTTGCCCTTGAAAAGACCGCTATTCGCTGTCATGACTCCATGCTCAACAAATGGATCATTTACCATTGCGGACGTCGACTCATCCTCAGATGCCGCCAAAACGAACCTCACAGGTTCGTCGTAGTGATGCTCCTTCCAGAAAGCATTGTCTCGCAGATCATGGCCAGGCACGCCCATAACGGCTCCTTCACCATAGTCCCCGAGCACGTATGGCGCCACATAGACCGGGATAGATGCCTTCGTGGCATCGGGGGTCTGTTCGTGGTAGGCCAGCGGGTTGATAGCCCTGACGTGAGGAAGGAGGTAGCCAACCTTGGAGTCCTTCGGCAGTCCTGGAAGAGTATCCAGAAAAGCCTGCAACTCGGGGTCACCCTTGGCCAAAGAAGCGACCATCGGGTGAGTAGAAGCCAAGGCGACATATTGAACCCCAAATAGGGTGTCAGGTCTTGTGGTGAAGATCTCGATGCTGGCGTGGATGTCAGAACCCATGGCCAGGATGGGAAACTTGATAGTTGCGCCCGTCGACTTGCCCAGCCAGTTCTTTTGCTGAGCAAGAACTCTCTCAGGCCAAGCCTCGTCCTTGGCAAGGGTTTCCAGATCGTTTAACAAGGATTCTCTGAACTCGGAGATGCGGAAGAACCACTGCTTCAGCTTGCGTTTCTCAACCTTGGCGCCTGATCTCCAGGAACATCCGTTCGCATCCACTTGTTCGTTCGCAAGAACCGTCATGTCGACCGGGTCGTAGTTGACCTCGGCCTCGTCCTGGTAGGCGAGACCGCGGTCCAGCATCATCAAGAAGAGCTTCTGGGTGTGCTTGTAGAATTCGGGGTCGCAGGTGGCGATTTCCTGCAAGACGTTAAGTCAGACTTGGAACCGAACGACGAATTTGATTAACAAACCCTTTCCCAGTTCCAAGTGCCGTTCATGATTTCCAGTTGCTCCTTCATCTTTGAAATATTGCTTTTGGTCCAAATGGCGGGGTCAATACCACGTTCAATGGCAGCGTTCTCCGCGGGAAGTCCAAAGGCATCCCAGCCCATGGGTAGCATGACCCTGGAGCCTTTCATTGTATGGTATCGGGAGAGAACATCGGCAATCGTGTAGACTCGGAAATGGCCCATGTGCAAGGTGCCTGAAGGGTACGGAAACATGGGCAGGACGTATTTGCTCGGCTTGCTAGAATCTGCATCGTCTGCGGCAGACTTCGACGTCTGCCACTGCTGGCGCCATTTCTTGTCCAGAGCAGGAAGGTCGACAAGACCTCGTCTCTGGGCGGCGGCAGCCAAGCATGGGCTCGCGAAGGGCTGCGGGTGTCGGTATGCCAAGGATGGTGAAGCTCGCGCAGTTTTTGCGAATGTCGCTACGGCCCGAGCAGGCCACACGCGGCCAATGTGTCTTGCGTGGATCAGTTGCATCGCGACGGTTGTGTCATGGCCAATTGACGACGTCGGTGTTGAAATAAGGTCGGCGAGGTTGTAGTCATCCGCCGCTGTCACGCTATCGTGGGGTTTGTGGAAGGGAAGGTGACCGCGTTTGCACCTGCAAGCCGAGCTCCATCAAAAACGGAGAGCTCTCGGAATGGCGCCCAGAATCCCTGCAGGGTCCTCTGCCACTAAAATTCCGGAGGGTAGGGCGGACCTGCAGGGGAACGTCATCTGTCCCTCGCACCCCTGGGACAAATCGTCTTGGGGTATCACACTGTTGGACCAGCCCATGCAGACGGACGAGATCGTACTTGGTGTTTGCCTGCAGGGCCCTGCCGTCTCTCGACCATGATAAGACCAGCTATGCGACCGGACATGACCACACGAGATATTAGTTTCCCCCTTTTCTCACCATCTTTTGTTAATAAAGGGGGTTTTCTCCAAGGTGTAACAGCCAGGGACAGCCCAGCAACTAGCACGGAAGAACTAAAAACCGTTAGGGGCCGGCTTAGACACTGTGTACCGGCTTCACCGCCCTGCGGATGTGTCATCTGAAGTTGCGGTCACAGTATGCGCACCGATCTCCTTAAAGCGAACTGCCCCGCCATCGCTCAAATGTCTTTCAATATCTTCGTGGATACGCCTTTTGTGCTAAGGAATGACGACAGCGCAAACAGACCAATAAGGTAGCATTCAAGTCTATCCAGACCAGAGCGGCTTCCACCGTTGAGCTCGTCGCACCCCAGACACCTTTTTTGTCTCTCAGTTGCTGTCTCTACGCACGTCACTTGGTCTATCAGGTGTCTCGGGCAAATTCTCAGACTCACCCGCTGAGCACCCCGCCTTACCCCTCCACCGAGGTCTGATATCAACGGCACACGACCCCAGATTTTCAGCTGAGGGCTCTCTTCTCCGACGTAGGAGTCGCAGAAGGTCAGAAGTTCCAATTGACCACTTATCGCCTCAACAATATCGGAATACGCACAGCTACCACGCTCAAGATGGACAAGATAACGGACAAGATCGCCGCCCTGCCGGCAGATGCCAACTACTTTTCCCTCGAGTTCTTCCCGCCCAAGACCGTCATGGGTTTCTCCAACCTCCGCGACCGTCTGGACAGAATGGAAAGGGCCCTGCGCCCTCTCTTCGTCAACGTGACCTGGGGCGCCGGCGGTTCAACCTCACAAAAGTCCCTTGAGCTGGCCGAGATCTGCCAGCGCGAGCTGGGTCTCACGACCTGCCTTCACCTGACGTGCACCAACATGAGCCGCAAGCTCATCGATAAGGCCCTCGAAGACGCAAAGGCACTTGGTATCCGCAACATTCTCGCCCTACGAGGTGATCCCCCACGCAAGAGTGAGTACCGCACCGCCGAGGACTCCGATGTCGAGGACATGGACGACTTCGTCTGGGCCATCGACCTGGTCAAGTACATCAGGAAGAAGTACGGCGATTACTTCTGCATAGGAGTTGCCGCCTACCCCGAGGGCCACGCCGATGAGAGCCACCCCCTCGGCCAGAGCTTCGAGCACGACCTGCCCTACCTTGTCGACAAGGTCCAGGCCGGCGCCGACTTCATCATGACCCAGCTCTTCTTCGACATCAAGGCTTACGACAACTTTGAGAAGGTGCTTCGCGAGCACCCCAGTGGCGCCTTCAAGACCATTCCCCTCCTGCCCGGACTCATGCCCATCCAGAGCTACCAGATGATCAAGCGCACCACCAAGCTCAGCCACGCCAAGGTCCCAGACGCCCTCATGGCCCGCCTCGACGCGGCCAAGGGCGACGACGAAAAGGTCAAGCGCGTCGGCGTCGACATTCTCAGCGAGCTCGTGGAGCAAGTCAAGGAGGTCAAGAGCAGGACCCCCGGCCCCAAGGGCTTCCACTTCTACACCCTCAACCTCGAAAAGGCCGTCTCCTTCATCCTCGAGAGGACGGGCCTCATCCCGGAGCACGCAGACGACGACAACGAGTCCGCCATCATCGACGATGCCGTCGGCGGCGCCGCCGTCGTGCCCACCGTCCAGCTCAACGGCCTCAACCCCATGTCCGCCGTCCCCCGCGCCCTCTCCAACTCCAACCGCCGCGCCTCCTCCATCGGCTCCGACCCCCACAACCGCGTCATCGTCTCCTCGGCCTCAAATCCCGCCTACGAGACCACAGCCGCCTCCCTCTCCGCGGAGCCCGTAAACACCCGCGCCAACACCCTCGCCATCTCAGAAGGCGAGGGCGTCCTCGGCCGCGAGGCCACCTGGGACGACTTCCCCAACGGCCGCTGGGGTGACGCCCGCTCCCCGGCCTACGGCGAGATCGACGGCTACGGCGTCAGCCTGCACATGTCCGTGACCCAGGCCGTCGGCCTCTGGGGCACGCCCAAGACCGTCCAGGACATCAACAACCTCTTCATCCGCCACATCAAGGGCCAGCTCAGCGCCATCCCCTGGAGCGAGGAGGAGCTCCTCCCGGAGTCCAACATCATCCAGCAGGAGCTCCTCGAGCTCAACTCCCGCGGCTGGTGGACCGTCGCCTCCCAGCCCGCCGTGAACGGCATCCCCTCGCGCGACCCGACCTTCGGCTGGGGCCCGCAGCACGGCTTCGTCTTCCAAAAGTCCTTTGTCGAGTTCTTCCTCCCCTCGGCCGACTGGGCCGGCCTCGTCGCGCGCCTGAACGAGGTCAAGGACAAGTCCATCTGCTTCTACGCCGCCAACGCCGCCGGCGACTTCGTCTCGTCCGACTCGAGCGGCGGCCTCGTCCTCGAGGGCACCGAGACGAGCACCAACGCCGTTACGTGGGGCGTCTTCCCCGGCAAGGAGATCATCACGCCCACCATCATCGAGGAGGTCAGCTTCCGCGCCTGGGCCGAGGAGGCGTTCAAGATCTGGGGCGAGTGGGCCAAGGTCTACGGCAAGGGCAGCGAGAGCGAGGCCCTGTTGGAGAGAATACGCTCCGAGTACTGGTTGGTCAACATCATCCACCACGACTTTGTCGAGAGGGACGCACTGTGGAAGTTGCTCAGCGGTGAGAAGGAGATTTGAGTGTCTTTTAGGGTCAGAAGTAAATACCAGTAAAAAAGGAGGGGGGTCGGACGGGCGCACTCTGTAGACAGCAGCGAATTAAAAGGAGATACCCGTCATTACATTTTTCATATTGCATAGCAACATCACACGCATGAGGATGGCAGAAGTGTAAATCATGATGGCCTATTGCCATGGTATCTCAGTTTGTTGAATGCTTCCCACGTATCAAGCCTTGTGGGGAGATTGACTATCTGTCAATCGTGTCAATCATCTAATGTACATGTGTTTCCCGTCCTAGGGATACCTTCCCAACGCCAAGCTTCCCGAGATCCTGAGAGAGAAGGGAATTCATAAAGCAAATCTAGAAGGCTCGAAAGCAAATCCGAATCCGCCCGCCGTCCTTGGTTCTCCCTGTTACCCGCCATCCTAGATCTCACCATCGTTGTTGTCCATGTAATTGCTGCCAAAGAGACCCTGGTCGAAGCTGGCCATCTCGCTGACAACGAAGCTGGGCATGGCGTCCTGGGGCTCGGGGTTGAAGTAGAAGCTGTCGTCCGCCTGCTGGGAGAAGCTGTGCTGGGACGCGAAGACGTCAGTGGCAGGCTGAACGGCAGGCTGGGAGACGACCGGCTGCTCGAATGACTGCGCCATGAAAGCGGGCTTCGAGTTGACAGGAGCCGGGGCCTCGTAAGCCGGGGCGTTGTCAGGGGTGTTGACCTCGCTGTCAGAGGTGGTCAAGTCGACCGCAGCAACGTTGCTTTTGTTGGTAGCAGCGGCGATGGTAGCGGCGCGGCTGGGGGTGTTGCTGCGGCGACTGGGAGTGGTCTTGCCGATGCGGCCGTCGAGGACGTGGTCGCGGACCCGCGACTTGGAGGGGGTGTCCTCGAGTGCGTTATAATCGACGTCGTCACCACCCTCGTCATCCTCCTCGTCACTCAACGGCTGGAGCTTGATGGGCTTGGCCTTCTTGACAGTCGAGCGGCCGCCACCGGAGGCAAGGCGCTTCGAAGGAGTGGCCTTGCGCGGGGTCGAAGCAGCGCTGGAGGGGCCGGCGCCAGAGAGGTTCAAGGCCGTGGCTGGGTTCCCGCCGCTGTTGGCGGTCTGCTTGAGAGACTCAGCATCCTTCTTGATGCCCCGGAACTGGAACTGAATGCCGTCGGCAGTCGACTCGCCGAAGAACTTGGCGATGTCTATTCAGGGATTAGCATCAGGACTCACAGGTTGGCGATGAAAGAACATGAACGAAGTCGACAGCAACCAAAAACACGTCTTACCCCTGGCATCTTTGGGAAGATCTGCTGGGATATGAATACAGTCCATTCCCGACGCGACTGCATCCTTGATTACCTTTGAGTGATTCTTGAGGGCGCGGAAACGGTGTTGAGCCGCGTACTCCGTCATGTCGGACCCAAAGTGCTCGGCGATATCTTCCAGACGTCAGAGACGCCAGACCACGAATGAAAAAGACAAGGAAACCAAGATAAAAATACAAGTAAGAAGAAGTCGAGAGGTCGCACTTACCCTTGTAGTTCCACTTCACCTCGGGGTGAGCAGCGACGATGGCGCGCAGCAGGCGAGCCTGAGCGTCGTAGGTCTTGAAGTTCGTCTTGGAAGTGACGGGAGCCATGTTGATGTCTTGTCTGATGCAGGGCAGTTGCTATGTCAGTCGCACTCTCCGCTAAAAATATTGAGGGTGGAGAAGGTTAGTGATGGACCGGCGGGTGGGCTGTGTTGAGAGGTGAGGTGAGGTAGTCGTGGTAGAGGTGGAGGAGAAAGGGAACGAATGGAAGCTCTTAGGTAAGAGGAAGGGAAGGAGTACAGAGAAGGTGCGGTGGGCAAAAATTGTATGGGGAGAAGTTCTGCGTACTCACTGGCAGGATTAAGGAAAGAGTAGTCTCTTAAGTGAGAAGTTATAGTGCTTTTGGTAAATGACTGGTGCCTTGAGGTTGACTCGGTAAGGCTGCGATGGTTGAATAGGCGCTGGGTGTGCTGAGTGATGGTAAGCCTTTGTGTATTTGATGAAGGTAGGTGTTGGAAGTTGGATTGGGGATGGAAGTTGAGGCTAGTAGGAGTCGTGTGAGGGAAGGTGCTCATGTAGAGGGCAGGAACTCGGCGATGAAGCTGGGCAAGGGAAGAGACAACGGTGGGTCGTGGCTCACGCAGGACGAGGACCACGACTGATCCGGACCAATAGACTTACCAAGATGGCGTTGAAACACGGTATTCAAGGAGAATGGTAGGAAAGAAAGACAAGCTTTAATGGATAAGATGTGTTGGGCTAGGTGAGGTTGTGTCAGTTTCAAAATCAGTTGATGATGATGGGTGTGTTTGGTTGTGAAGGAAGCAAAAGAGGAGAGAGTGAAGCCGAACTTATATCCCAAAGATAGGCAAGCAGAAGACTTCAGGGCAGGCGCTTTCGAACGTCTTATTTCGAGAACGGCAGGTACTGTGGTGTTGACGAGGGCGCTTGCTTGGCGATGCTTTATGCCTAGTACACGATGGATCCTATGCTCGTCCGCGCCTCCCCATAGATCATGAGATGAGTCTCGTGCACAGAGAAGCTTGAGAAGATACACTACCCTCATCTCCGGATTTGTCTCCGAGCAGATGATGTTTGGGGCGGCCATAAAGCTTCCATACAAAGGAGATCATAGCAGCTACAGACTTGGGCAGAGTGTAATAGGATGTACAACAGAAGGAGACATGGCGCATCTTAAAGACATCGACCATAAGAGAAGTGCAAAGCAACTTACCTCTTAGCTCCCGATGGAACCTCAGTCTAATTTAGACCCGTCCCGGCCACGTTGTTTAAGATGCCTCACGAGAGGACAAGCCCTTAGTCAAGACTCTTCGCAACTGTGCCTCAAATCGAACTTGAACTTGCGCTCACAACCAACTCTTTCACCAGACAAGGAATACCCACGGAGGTGGGTACGGGGATGAAGGCTGATCGAGTTGAACCGTCCAGTGGAGACCTCGACGTCGTCTGAGATATGACCGTTGGAAATGTCTCGATTTCGTCGCAAAAGGATCGTTAAAGCTCCTGCAGGTCGTCGACAATTCGGGAAATTTCGTCGTCGGTCGAGTAAAGAAAGAGAAAGAGAGAGAGACAGGGTATAGTGACAAATGAGCAGGTTGTGGGGCGTTGGCAGGTCAATGACAAGCGAGTATCATGAAAACGAAGTCCTTTTGCAACGAGCGGACTTTTGAGGTGTAAGTTGAGGACTTACAGCTCCAGGGTCTAGAGACTGCCAGATGGAGGTTGTCGACGATGGAGTGGTACGGCAGTCGGGTGGCCAACTTGGAAAATAGGAGGTTGGGAGGCTTGGGAAACTCATCAGCATTGGCGACCTTTGGTGAGCGGCAGATACCAAGATACCTGGGCAGCGACAGAGAAAAGAGCACAGCAAAGGAAAAAGAAAAGCCAATGCGAATTAGAAAAATCAGTTATGAAATTGGGTATCCAGACAGACCAACGGCAACCAATACGACAGTCGTTACGCCATGCGCGATGCCACACGCTCGCCCAGAAAGTGACGTGAGAGGTAGTCGCTAACGCGAGTTAACGGCCTGCACACATCTCCAGAGCAAACCAAGCTCACCTCTCTCATCAAAACCCCTGCATTCCCATAGCATTACAATTGGCCCCGGGCTCTTGGCCCCTGAAACTCCCTATCTAATCCCTGTCTAAGCTACTTTCCATATCTTTTGCCATATGTCGCAGATTCTACACCGTATCGCGCGGGTCATACATGTCGACGGAAACGAAACCATTTATACAGCCGAACGCAGAATTACGCATTTCAATTATCGGAGCTCCTTACCGTACGGCGACGACGTCCTCCGTGTGGGGGTGACGCGACCGCTAATGTGGTCGGGCAAAGGCGGCTTATAGACACCGGCAGGGTACTGAGGATAATTGCCCAGGGCATGCTCCTTGATCTCGCCCTTCTCGCCGTCACCGTACATGAGGTACTGGACACCGAGGAAAGAGTCGCAGCAGGCCTGGAACATGCCGCACAGCTTGAAGGCCCAGGGGATCTCGGTCGTCGAGGTGAAGAACCAGAACATCTTCATGGCGTCACCAATCAGCCAGCTCGCCAGCACGGAGAAGCGGAAGCCCTTGCAAGACTGCGAGCGCGCGTTCGCAAAGATCTGAGGGAGGGGCAGCGTCGCCTCGACCGAGAGACCAATGTAGCCGATCAAAACCGAGTAACTCTGGTAAATCGCCGGCACGGGAGAGAGCAGCAGTTCGCAGACGGTCAAGGCGATGAAGAAGTACAGCAGGAATTGCCAGTAGCTGCGATGTTGGTTAGTCGGAGCTCTGCGCAGCACTTGCGAGGCTGTGGACTCACGGCTTGGGCGACCTCCACTGCCAAAAGTGGTACGGTCTCGATGCGCCAAAGACGGGACCGTCGTTGACGTTTGCGAAAGGTGTCGCGGCCTCTCCACCCTTGGATGACGGGGGCAGACGGTGTTCCAGCGCAATCTTGAGCAAGATGACTTGCATGCCAACCATCAGAATCGCCTGGACGAGGAGGGCGGTGTCGAATCGTGACCCGGGCCAGTAGAAGATCCTGCGCAGCACCAGCATGTCAGCTTGGGTTCGGAGAAGACGGACTTGGACCCACGTACTTCAGCAGAGAGGCAACCAGCATGATCAACGGGATGTCCAGAGAGAAACCGGCGCTCGACTTGTTTCGGTGCATCGACAAGGCCTGGTCGCTATAGGAAAGGACCGGCGACATGATGAGGAAGATCGGGGCCAGGTAGCCCGTGAAGGACGTCACAAAGGACGTCAGCCAGTGCATCATCTTGGCGGTTTGTGACACGACAAGGTTGGATTAAAGATTCAGCAAAAGACAAACACCCGACCGATTCTAAAGAAAATGGCAAAAGAGAAAAGAGATGCAATGATGTCGGTCAAGGAAGGGCCGTCGCGTCGAGAAGAAAGAAGGGGAGGAGCGGAGCGCAGCGCGGCGGGCGGGCGGTCGCAGAGTTGTCGAACCCGATCTTTTTGAATTGGGGATCCAGAACGGCGACTTTATGGGAGCCAATCAGATGCGGGCCAAGACAAGTGCAGGTCGAGCTTCCCACCCAGAATTGCTTGTTTCCAGGTGCCAGTTGACGTCGCCTGGTCCCTCTTACGCTGTTTTAGGAGGGCAAGTGACAGGGTTGGTAGAAATAGTACCGCAGAATGGAACGCACCAAGAGGTTCCTTAGCAGGTAAGGTAAGGTAGGTAAGGGGGCACGGCACGGGACTGTTGGGCACGGAGACGTGGGAGCATCCCGGAGACCCGAAACCTTGGGCGATCGCACAGCGCCAGATGCGCTACGACGCGGCCGGCACTTTCGCTGCTCGCCGTGCACCAGGGCGCTCTGAGCTCCACTGTATCCGTCCATGTCAACGTGACCAGGTGCTGACACCGCCAAAACCGTCGCTGCCCGGGCCAGCAAGTCAGTGAATGGCACGCTGGGCAAAATTGTGACGGGAGCTGCGTTCCAGTGTTGCGCTCGGTTCGGCCCCATCGGATGGAAATTTTGCGATGGCAGGCCCGGTAGTGCTAGTTCTGGTTAATGCAGCAAGGTCTAGCCAGCTAAAGTGCAGAAACAGGTAAAGATGGACAAGAGAGAGAGATACAGAGGAAAGCTAAGGCTGGCGACACGGGAGGTTTTGTCATCTTATTTTCGATTTTAATTTTGATCCTTCATCCATCACCCAAGCAAGATAACCTTTGGGGACACACTCATCCCTCACAAAAAAAAGAACCAACCATGTCCCCACCAGCCACACTTGGTTGCCAAATTTGTTCCGACAACGGCGCACCTCAGGGCCACCAGCCACGATTCATGCGTCCAGTCCAGTGCCCCTCCGCCCGGCCCTGGGGATGCCTCACAGCGGGCCCAGCTGTCGCGGGACAAGACCACCAAACCTGGAGAGACTCAGTCAGGCTCCTCCTGCTCCTCGAGGTGAACACTCCTTGATCAGTGAGTCCTGCGAAAAAAAGAACCCCACCATGCACCTCCACCGCCACAAAAATGAAGAACTGCCCCGCCATTCTCGACGCCGTTTTCACGCTACCTTATCGTTTATCTGGCGCCCCGCCAAAATTTTGATCACCCCGCCATGCCGCCGCCGAGAGAGTCACGCAGAATGCTGCAAAACTTATCTCTGTCGCCAACCCTCAATCCGGGCGAGAATTCCCCATTGATCGCTGGCCGCTCTCCGTGTGCAACCCCGACCCGGGCCAGAATGGAGTTTCTTACCCTCGTCGGCGCTGAGGCGTACACGCCCAAGCAGGCCGAAGAGCTCAAGACTCGCATCAACAAGCACGCCAATGTCGCTAACAAGGTCGCCCACGTCGCCGGCATCTGGATGTACTACGTCCACCTCAAGAACAGCGACAACAACCTCATTGTTCAGCAGAAGCTGACCAAGTGGCTCGGTCTTCCTGACCAGACCACCGCCCAGATCGCTGCCAACACTGAGTCGTCAAAGACTTACTATGTTATCCCGCGGAACATCTCCCCCTGGTCCTCCAAGGGTACCAGCATCACTCATGTGTGCGGTCTCGCAGACCACATTGATCGCATCGAGCGCGGCAGAGCCATCACAATCACCTTTGAGCAGCCCGTCTCCGAGGACGACATCGCCTTCAAGGATGTCGTCTACGACCGCATGACTGAGACCATTGGCCTGTCTCGTCCCGACCTTTCCGCCATGTTCATCGAGGGCCAGAGATATCCCCTGGAAGTCGTCGATATCTTTGGCGGCGATGCTGACCCCGTCGACACCCTCAAGGCTTATAACAAGCAGTTCGGCCTGGCCATGGACGAGTCCGAGATTGAGTACCTCGTCGAGGTCTTTAAGCGTCTTGGCCGCAATCCCCACGATGTGGAGCTCTTCATGTTTGCCCAGGTCAACTCGGAGCACTGCCGCCACAAGCAGTTCAACGCCAACTGGACCATTGACCAGGTCCAGATGGGAGAGTCCCTCTTCGGCATGATTAGAAACACTCACAAGTCCAACCCCAAGTACACCGTCTCCGCCTACAGCGACAACGCTGCGGTCCTTGAGGGCGAGACCGCCAGCTTCTGGGCCCCTGACTACTCCACCGGAAGCTGGAAGCTCACCAAGGAGGTGGTGCACGTTCTGGTCAAGGTCGAGACTCACAACCATCCTACCGCCATCTCTCCTTTCCCTGGTGCTGCCACTGGTGCCGGAGGTGAGATTCGTGACGAGGGAGCCGTTGGTCGCGGTTCTGCCCCCAAGGCTGGCCTCTGCGGTTTCTGGGTCTCTGACCTGTTGATCCCTGACGAGAACGCCCCTTGGGAGGTTGACCTCGGCAAGCCCGCCCACTTCGCCAGCAGTCTCGACATCATGCTCGAGGCCCCTATCGGCAGCGCCCGCTTCAACAACGAGTTCGGAAGACCCTGCCTGCTTGGTTGCTTCCGCACTCTCCTTACCAACGTCGGCAAGGAGGACTCTCCCGAGTGGCGTGGCTACCACAAGCCCATCATGATCGCCGGAGGTGTCGGAACTGTCCGTCCTCAGCACGCTCTCAAGGAGCTCGGCGACGTTCACGATGGTGCCCACGCCATTGTTCTCGGTGGCCCCGCCATGCTCATTGGTCTCGGTGGAGGTGCCGCCTCATCAAGCGCCTCCAACGAGGATACCGCCGAGCTGGACTTCGCCAGTGTCCAGCGTGGCAACCCCGAGATGGAACGACGTGCCCAGATGGTCATCGACACCTGCGCCGCCCTTGGCGAGCAAAACCCTATTGCCATGATCCACGACGTCGGTGCTGGTGGTCTGTCCAACGCCCTCCCCGAGCTGGTCAAGGACGCCGGCTTCGGCGGCAAGTTCGAGCTTCGCCAGGTTCACAGCGCCGACAGCAGCATGAGCCCTCTTCAAATTTGGTGTAACGAGGCTCAGGAGCGTTACGTTCTTCTCGTCAACAAGGAGAACATTAACCGCTTCGTCAGCATTTGCCGTAGGTTGACACTTATATACATACAAAGCACTTTGAACTAATCGACTACAGGTCGTGAGCGCTGCCCCTTTTCCGACGTTGGAACCGTCGTCGCCAAGGACGCCGAGGGCAACGCGAAGCTTACTCTCAGCGACCGTGACTCCCCTGAGAACCCCATGCCCATCGACCTTCCCTTCAACGCTCTCTTCCCCCCTGGACGTCGCCTCGAGCGTGTTGTCGAGTCTCGCAGACTCGACTTGCCCACCTTCGACGCCGTCTCTGCCCTTACGGCAGCCATCAGCGGCACGGTCAATGACGCCGCCCTCATCACCACCGCCACTGAGCGCGTCTTCCGCATGCCCGCAGTCGGCTCCAAGTCCTTCCTCATCACCATCGGTGACAGGACAGTCGGCGGTCTCTCCGTCCGTGACCAGATGGTCGGCCCCTGGCAGACACCGGTCGCTGACTGCGCCGTCACCGCCACCTCCTTCCAGCTGGGTTCCAACACCCGCACTGGTGAGGTCATGGCCATGGGAGAGAAGCCCCAGCTGGCTCTCATCTCCCCTGCCGCGTCTGCTCGCATGGCTGTCGCGGAGAGCTTGCTCAACCTCGGCGCCGCCGACATCCTCGGCACCCTGGACCGCGTGAAGCTCTCTGCCAACTGGATGGCCGCCGTCAACCACCCCGGCGAGGGTGCCGGTCTCTACGAGGCCGTCAAGGCCATCGGCATGGAGCTCTGCCCCCAGCTCAAGATCTCCATCCCCGTCGGCAAGGACTCCACTTCCATGAAGGCGTCCTGGAAGGACCGCGAGTCCGGCGAGGCCAAGAGCGTGACTGCTCCCATGTCCGTTATCATCACAGCCGTCACTGTCGTTGAGGACGTCCGCAACACCTGGACGCCCCAGCTCCGTCGCGTTGAGGACGTCGGCGAGACGATCCTCCTGTACGTCGATCTCGCCGAGGGCAAGAAGGCGATGGGCGGCTCCGCCCTGGCGCAGTCACTTGGACAGCTTGGAAACGAGTCACCGGACGTTCGCAACGTGGATCTTATTACAGACTACTTTGACGCTCTCCAGCAGCTCCACAAGAGCGGCGTCGTCCTGGCCTACCACGACGTCTCCGATGGTGGTCTCATGACCACCATCGCCGAGATGATGTTCGCCGGCCGCTGTGGCGTCGACGTCATGCTCGACGGCATCTCCAAGTCCGGCTCCGCCTCCGACATCCTCGCCTCTCTCTTCCATGAGGAGCTCGGCGCCGTCTTCCAGGTCCGCAAGGAGGACGAGATCAACTTCAAGCGCTGCTTCGCCACCTGCGGTCCTCCCCCCGGCCTTATCCGCAAGTTCGGTGTCGTCAAGCGCAAGTCGGACCAGTCGCTCACGATTCGTTACGGAGGAGTCGCGCCTATCGTCAGCTTGGACCGCGCCCAGATGCAGCAGTGGTGGTCGAGGACGTCGTATGCCATGCAGAGGGAGAGAGACAACCCAGCGTGCGCAGACAGCGAGTACGCCACCGTCTCCGACTCGGCCGACCCGGGCCTGTCGTACAACCTCACCTTCGACCCCAAGGAGAACATCATGCCCCTGACGGCCACCCTCGGCAGCCTCGTCCGCAAGGCGCCCCGCGTCGCCATCCTCCGCGAGGTCGGCGTCAACAGCCACAAGGAGATGGCCTTCGCCTTCAAGGCGGCGGGCTTTGACCCCATCGACGTGCACATGTCGGACGTCCTCGCGGGCCGCTCGCTGGCGGACTTCGTCGGTGTCGCGGCAGGCGGCGGCTTCTCGTACGGCGACGTCTTCGGCGCCGGCGTGGGCTGGGCGCAGTCTATCCTCGAGCACAAGCACGCCCGCCAGGAGTTTGAGAACTTCTTCAGGCGCCCCGACACCTTCGCCCTCGGCGTCTGCAACGGCTGCCAGATGATCACCCGCCTCAAGGAGCTCATCCCAGGCACCGAGAACTGGCCCACGTTCGTCGAGAACGCCAGCAGGCAGTTCGAGGCGCGCTTCGCCATGGTCAAGGTCGACGAGTCCCGCGCCGCGAACCCCTCCGTCTTCCTCCACGGCATGGACGGCTCCTCCTTCCCCATCGCCGTGTCCCACGGCGAGGGCCGCGCCTCCTTCTCCTCCCCCAACGCCCTCGAGGACCTGGGCGCCGACGGCCTCGCGCCCCTCAGGTACGTCGACAACCGCCTCAACGTCGCGGGCGCGGAAAGCTACCCGTATAACCCGAACGGCAGCCCTGGCGGCGTGGCTGGCGTCAGGAGCAGGGACGGCAGGGTCTTCGCCCTCATGCCCCATCCCGAGCGGACCATCATGGCGGACGTCGGCAGCTACGTTCCCCCGGAGCAGGTCGAGGCCTGGGGCGAATTCGGTCCGTGGATCAGGATGTTCAAGAGCGCCAGACGCTGGGTGGGCTGATTTGGGACTGCCGCAGCAGCAGCAGCAGCAGCTTTCGGTCAGGGGGTAAAGGTGGTTGGGTGTGTGTGTGTCTGTGTGTGTGTGTGTGAAGGGGATCAATGCCCTCTCCTTCCCCCTCTCATTCCCTCTCTCAAAAGAAAAATAGGGGGCCGGGAACACGCTCCCGGAATCGGGAAACGGAGAACGAGACACATGTCGCTGGGAACGAGAGCAAAAGGGTTTAGACTTTCGGGGGTGGTTCAAACGGAAAAGCAGAAAACATTTACTACATACTTCACACGAAGATTGGGAGGGAGGGAAGAAAGGGGGTGGGAAACGGGAACATGTCTATAGTTCATCTAGCATAAGTTTTTCTTTTGGGTTTTTGGGACCTTTCGTTGCTACTGCTCCGACTACTTTGTGTACGACGAACTTGTATCTCTCCAGTCAAAGAGTCTTGGGGGCCTGTTGGTTCCTTTGCTGTCCTCTTGCTGGGCCAACCATCTAGGCAGGCTCATGTGAACGAGGGGGAAAGGGAAAGACGTTTCCGGCGATCTCAGTCTCATTCGTCGATTCACAGGAGAAAGACTAATTACCAACTCAGGAGTCTCTTTCGATTGGGGTGAACGAGGGAAAGGGGGCAGGTACGCCCCCTCCCCCTTGCCCTGGGATGGATGAGAGGACGAACAAGAAGATTGTGTTCTGCAGAGAGAGGGCGCGGACTGGGCAGGGCATGGCTTCCTTCAACGAGGTTGAATGGGCTGCCTTCAAACCCCAAGGATGCGTGTCTTCTTCGAGTCGAGTCCTGTCTGTCTGTCCCAACGGGGGTTGGCTGTTGCTATCCATCTCGGCCATCCAAGTCCGCGTTGTCTCGGCCGTCATCCGCGTCTTCGTCGTCCTAGTCACCGCTCTCTCATCCTCGTGATATACGTCTGTGAAATCTCTGTCATATTAGCGACATGTTCCAGATCGAGAAGGTTGTTCTCTCGAACCCAGGTAGACCCAACGGGCGCCGACCAGGCGTTCACTTCAGGGGTGTCGAAAAACACCTCTCTCTCCCCACCGTGGTGGCGATGAGGACTGACGTCCAACAGCATCAGAAGGTCCTTTTCAGTGGGCAGAAAACTTCCCCCGGCAGGCATTCAGACGGACAAGGCCAGCGCGAGGACCAACGACAGCCAGGTGCAATCTCAAAAAGATGGGCATGCTGCCGTTGCTGCTGCGCCCTCGAATTCGGCCCCCAAGTTTACGTACGACTTTGACACTGGCACTGGGTGAATTCCTTCGCGCCGGCAGCGCGCCCCGATCGAACAGCATGCCAGCCTTTGTCGTTGGAGGGATTCAGTCCACCCGATTCTCTTCTGCACCGACGCCGCTGCGGGCGGGCCTTTCCTTACTCACTTCCTTCCTCACAGATCATCATCTCCTACCCGAAGGAAGGGATTTTGGCACTGACGCTTGTCAATTCGCTCCCGTCCTGCACGGATGGCAAGATGGCGTTCGCTCGGTGAGGGGGCGGTGGGGAGGAAAAGCCATCCGCCTCTCACCAGAAGCGCGCACTCGCACCCCACGGCTGTGGCGCCTGTCGAATGGGATGGAAACCTTCGCTCTCGGCTATTCACATCCAAGGCTTGCTGGAAGAAAAGGAAGAAAAGAAAAGGGGGGGGGGGAGGGTCTTTTCCCCCAACAGTAGTGGCATGCAGGTGAGCCATGTGTGCAGACGCGCGCCAGGAAAGAGCAAATGTACGCCTGCTGCACTCCCGCGGCGGCGAATAGCTCACCCCTTCCTTGTTTCGCTCCTCGCTCCATCTTCTGCGAGGCAGCCCATCAGGTTCGCAGAGACGCCACGATAATCCGCGAGCCTGCATTAGGGGTCTTGAACGGGTGGAGGATTACGCCGCTTGAGAGAGGAGCGGTTCGGCACAAGGCCAGTGTGTATGTATGTGTGTGCGTGGTATCAGCGGCGCTTCCTTTCAAAACCAGGTATGTCGTAGGGCCGCCACTTCTTCAGAGCCAGCGACAGGTCAGGGAAACGGCCTCCGCATGGCGGCTGTTTGATCGCGATTCGGGCCATGAATGTGTCCGCCTCGCTTGACGAAATTACCCTGTTGGCTGGCAAATCCGCAAAGGTGCGCACGTCTGTTGCAGGAGAGACTGGTGTGCGTCGATTCTACTCTGAGGATGGGGGTTGGTGGTGGCGGCGTCTTGCGCTTGACTTGGAGGGTGAGCCGGCCAAGACCATGAGTGGGTAGAGAGCATTACGGCTTTTCGAATGCGGCAGCGGCTCTCTCTAGGATGACGCCGCACCGGCTGTGACTAACTGTAGTCCCTTTAACCTCGCTTCTCTGTCGTGCAACATCTTGTCCAGGACTCTATGATGGCTTGGCTCATGCTGGAGTTCGCATCGGCAGGTTCATGTCGTTGGAACGTAGTCTTGTCGGGTCAACACTGCGGCTCCATTTCTGATCAAGCCGTCAACCAGTAGGATTGGTCGATGGCCGACACATCCTCGCTGGCCAAAACCGCGCCCATGAGAATTGAGAGGAGTACGTTCGTGTTGGCAGGAGTATCATTTGCCATCTCTCACCGGCTCCCAACTTACATGTGGCGATCCGTTGGACGGGGACGCAGCAAGGACACTGCAGCCAGTTAGAGGGACTGAAAGCAGCAAAGTCTGAAGGGGGCTCCCCCATGGCAAATGGAATGGTGATCCGGGACTCCGCAAGCAATATGCGCAGTGCCGAGAGCCAACCTTGGCGATGAATCAAAAGTTTTCTGGCCAGTTCATCCCACAGCGCAACAACGTTAGGGACCCCAATCATCGGCCAGGGGATCCCAGTGACGACTTCGGGGATCGGGGGACGAAGCTTTGGCCAGACACTGCAATTTTCCTTTCCCTGACGCCGCCGCCGCCGCCGCCCTCGCGACCCCGAATACAGCAGCTTGATCCTCCAAGGATAAGCGCACAAATGTCAATAACGACGACTGCCGGGCACAAGGCGCCCAGGCCCAGGTTCAGGCCCAGGTTGCCTTTGCCTGGTGGTGCCATGTTATGAACCCCAACTTCCGGAGGATGAAAGCGAGAGTGGCACCCTCCCCCGCCCCTGGCAAGCGTCGCTCTCAGTGCCGCAGCAAGTTAGCCTTATGGATGGACGCTCGAAAATAAGAGATTGGTAATGGTAAAGCGACTGCCAACCCTAGACTCGAGTATGCCCGTGGAGGAGCACGCGAGGATGCGCAGCTCGTGCGGCGTAAACGGGTCTGTGGGAATGTCATCCATCCGCCTATCCCATCCATCCCACCACTCATCTCGTCCTCGTGGCGACGCGGGCGCCATTCCATGCCTGGGGAACAACGGGCCTGCGGTCTGGCCCTGAGCTGGGCCGCAAACCAGCAGTAAACTAGAGAGATACTAGAAAGGGCGACATCGTTCTCGGCATCTCCAGCGGCGCCGCCATGTCCAGCGGTCAGACGGTTTTCCGGTCTGCTGGGTCCCGGCTAGGACAAGCCACGACTAGTCAGATGCGCGGGGAGACTAATCGACGTCACGAACTGTGTAGTGAAGGTCGGCACCGGAAAGACGCAGTCGGTAACGGGACTCCCGACCTCTCTCGGGCGCCTCGCTGCTGAGGAGGGGGATTATGCGCCACTTCCGGCCTCATCGGGGCGAATCCAGGGTCTTTTTCGGCGGCTTTCTGACGCCGTGCACATGGCAGAAGTGCCCAGGCTAGGTATCTGGCAACCACAACAACAACGACACCCACGCTTCTCCAGTCAGTTGAATCGCCCGCTCGCAGTGCCGGGTACTTGGCAACAGGCCGTGACCACCTTGAACGAAAAATCCATGATCCGATACGGTATTAAGAGCCTAGCGTGGTGCGGCATCTCGAGTGGTGCGTGTGGGCTCCGCGGTGTGGTCCAGTGGTTGGATGGGTGGAATGGGCCAATCTTCCACGACTACAACCACATCCTCTCCTTCGGCCTGCATCAGTGTCAGCTTAGGTGCGCGCGGACATTGCTTCCAACCCCATGGTTCTGTCGGGCAAGCTAGCGGTCCGGTGCTGCGCTACCAGATAGCTGTCCTCCTGACGGCCGGTCCATATCCCACTACGGATACCTGCCCTTGGGCGGGGGACATCGGCCATGCCCAAGTTGCGAGCGGAGACGAGGCAAGCAGACTCTGAAAGTGCACTGTATGGAAGCGTTAGAGACTAATATTTGGCCGATCGCATGGTCGTGTCCGTCTATTCGTTTCCTCGGACTCTCGACGAGTTGGCTGGAATGTGGACGATTCCCGGTACAAGAGTGTAATAAGGTGTCCCGCAGGCTAGGACTAGGAGACCGGGCTCGTCTTGACAGGTACCCCCAGCCGAGCCGTTGGTGCTGAGAAGTCGTGGAAGCGCCGGAAACAAAAATCCCTTCAATCAGAGGCACGGAGCTAATTGCTGGGCTGGGTATGGTTCGAGCGTTGGTGGCCCACGTCATCCTCAAAAAGGGTGGACGACGGCTCCGAAGTCCAGGGCCCAGGGTATCATCGCGACCTTTAGCCAACCCGACGGGGGATCTGCTCTCCAGGATTTCGGTTGTCGATATTGGGGTTTGCGTGCAACACCGCGGCTATTCTTAGAGACTGTGCGCCGGGAGCGAGCGTGCCTCGATTTTTCTTCTCTTCCCCTCCCCTCGCTTTCTCACTGTGTCTGCAAGCCTTTGCCCGCACACGATGTGACGCCAACATATTTGACGCAACATCGCATCTCCCGCTCATATCTGAAAGTTGTTTCAAAGATATAGCTCGTTGGTCCATGACTCCATGCTTTTTCCTTGATCCTACCCGCAATCGCCGGCAGCTGACTTTTGCGTTGGGAGACACCACTGCCAAGAGGCTTTTGGCTGCACACCATCAACACTCTTTCGCGATTAGGCGAGCATCCGAACGGTCCCAATACCATCGCAGAGGTGCTCGCAGACACCCTCCGGACCTGCAGCAAAACAAATTGTGATGCCAGGGACCGGAGACTGTC